CCCAGACTTCGGGCTGGGCAAGCCAATATAAAACCGCGTCGGTGAGGTCGAGGTATTCAGCCTCACCGATCAGAGGTGTTTTCTTGTTGAGTCCGGTCATTCTGTCACGATCTGACACGGAAGCAGGTGACGGAAACCGTGAGCATACTGCTCGTAGATGACCCATCCGACATGGCGGCAAGCACGGACGCAGCGGCTCGGTGCTCTTCATTTCAGTGTTTAGTTTGTATGCATGTGCTAGTACTATTACTTGTTTCATCCACATTATGTTGAGCCAACAACATCAACAACATCTACAGCCGACAGAAACTTCTCAAGATTGGAGTGTGCAGTGTGGGAAGTGTCTCACCAGAGTTTCTTCGCTCCCACGACATTTCGGCAGACATAGCGAGGAGTCCCGGCTCTCCATGGATTATCATCCCCGCGGGCAGGTGAAAGAGGCGGCGCAGAGAGAGAAAACAAAAGCGAGGCTGCAGGGCCGGCGCGCTAGCAAGGCTACGCCGACAGCCTGCTAAACCACCACTCCCCAGTGTTTTTCTCACAAATGCCAACAAGATTGATGAACTGAGGCTACAAGTGGTATCAAATGACATCGTAAAGAACAGTTGCGTTCTGTTGATTACTGAATCTTGGCTTTACTCACTGAACCCGGACTCTGCTATCGAGCTAGCAGGCTACACTGTACAGCGCCACGATAGGACAAATGACTCCGGTAAGAGCAGAGGAGGTGGGTGTACGTAAATAACAGCTGGTGTACAAACACAGTGACTGTTGACAGTCACTGCTCCCCAAACCTGGAGTATGTGACTGTTAGATGCAGACCTATATATCTCCCCAGAGAGTATATGGTGGTCATGATTATCGCTGGTTACATAGCATCGGATGCTAATGCTAATTCGGCTATCGAACTTCTACACCGTAGCATTAGCAGTCAGCTGTCTAAGCACCCAGATGCCGTGTATATGGTTGCTGGGGACTTCAACCACGTGGATTTAAAATCTGTGCTCCCTAAATTCCATCAGCACGTCAAGTGTGCCACCAGAGGAGCGAACACATTGGATAAAGTCTATACAAACATTAAACAGGGCTACACCACTACCACACTTGGGACATTCTGATCATGTATCACTGTATTTAGTGACAGTGTAATGTGTTATATTAAGAACTGCACAGACATTGTCACAGTGGATAAACATATTTGCGTTTACCCCAATCAGAAGCCCTGGATGACCAGGGAAGTCCGGAGGCTGCTGAAAGAGAGGAACACTGCCTTCAGGTCCGGTGACAAGGCCCTCTACAGCTCAGCCCGTGCTAGCCTGAAGAGGGGCATCCAGGAGGCCAAGTCAGATTATAGGAGGAAGATTGAGGAACATCTGGACAGCAATAACAGCAGGCAGGTGTGGATGGGTGTCCAGCACCCCCATAGCAAATTTTATCTGGCCCAGCTCCGGCCCACACAACCCGCTTTTGCTTGGCCCACATACCGCAATGAATTACGGTCCTAGTGTGGACCAGGTCTGGTTTCCAGACAAGGGCCACACATGGGCCATAACTGGCCCAAGTCTCAGCCAAGTTAATTACCCATAACTGGCCCTAAGTTGGGCCAGATCATCTGGTAATTAACTTGGCTGAGACTTGGGCCAGTTATGGCCCATGTGTGGCCCTTGTCTGGAAACCAGACCTGGTCCACACTAGGACCATAATTCATTGCGGTATGTGGGCCAAGCAAAAGCGGGTTGTGTGGGCCGGAGCTGGGCCAGATAAAATTTGCTATGGGACCCCTCTCAGATGAATATAGTCGATCACAACAACGACAGTATTCTGAACAAGTATTTATTTAAGCATACTTAACATCAAAGCATTGACAGTTGTACAAACGACTCTCTAAAATGGCACTCTGTCAGTTTTGCAATAAAAAT